TGAAAATTTTCATACAACGTTTCATGATATGGTTCTGACTCATTTAAATGAATTTTTTTATATGTTTTCTACTAAAAAGTGAGTCATGAAATCTATGAAACTAGTTTTGTAACAACAATTCAACATTGATTCGAATACATCCAGAAGTTTTGATGAAATGTATTTGTGCATAGGATTTTAGAAATACTTTTGACCACAAGTCTTATGATAAATGCAAGTATTATTTATCATGGTAGATAAGGAAAGCATCACTAGGGGATGTAAGTATCTATTGGAATTAGTTTACATTAATTGACCATTTATATTGATCAAAATAAATGGTTAAACCAACTTCATTACCTACAGTAGATAGGTAAGTTTGTTTGATAAGTTTGAAGCCTTTAAGGTGTTTAGAGCTTTCACAAAAACGGAACATTTGAATCAACTAGGCAAAAGGATAAGATACATAGATCACTTATGGATAATGAATATCTTAGTCAAAAGTGTAATGATCATCTAAAAAATTGTGAAAATGTTTCACAACTAACTCCAAAAAGAACATTGTCGCAAACAATGTAGTTAGAAAGAGAAACTAATCATTGTTTGATTTTGATAAATGATGAGTCGTATTATGCTTCTAAACAGTACAATGCACAGTTCATGAATTGTACCATGAATAATGTTATAGTAGTCTTTGACCTTGTACTAACTTATAACGTTTACGAGGCACTCTCTAAAATATGGAATGAGGGTTCATCCCTCACTAGCGCGTATGGAAGTATATGATTGTGAGGCTTGCACTCGTCGTAAAGCTCTCAACTAGAACCTAGAATAGATACGTGTTACTTCATTGGATTTTCCACAAGTCTTCTGTTGGGAATAAAACCCTAATTGTGATTTGATGAACAAGATGCGGAAAATAAGAACAAACACAAATAAAGAAGATATGTCGAATGATCACTCGATTTATTCAATATGAGGAATAAATTACACTTTCAGCATAGACTAAAGAATCTAACACTACATAAGAAACCTCACAACGTGGCGGCTACATTTTGCCTCACTCTTAACCCTAATTATGAATAATACATGACTATTTATACGGAGGAGACAAGTCTTGGGCTTTTAACCTACACTTCATCAAGGGGGCCCATTGCCATCATCCGTGGAGTGCTTTGAAACCCTACAATCTCCCCCTCAAAGTATGGAATGGATGACAATGCTTTAACTTCCAAAACAAGCATCTAGAAAATAAAAAGATCTGCAACGAGGAATATATGAAGCAATCCACGAATCTTGATTCTTCAATAGTCTTCAAACACGTGCTCTAGGATATATAAACCAAGCACTGAAGTAATTTCTTTAAACTTCATTTTCGAATGTAATCCCAAAAAAATCTTCATGAAAACCAAACCCGCCATAAAAACCCATTTCAGAACAAAGAAACCAAATCACTTCTTGTCTTTGAAGAGCTCCCCCTCCAAGTCACAATGATCTTCAAATAAGCTAATGATATAAGCCACCAAAAATTATCATTTAACAACCCAAATTTTAAGATTCATAATGCCACTTGATCGAGAAAATACTAGAAGTCGGAGATATAACAAGTCCTTAGCAGAGCTCGATAAAGAACTTCCGCTGTAAAGGATACTTCTCTGTAAAAGCTTTAGCAGAGCTCGATGAAGAACTTCTACTGTAAAAGCTACCTTCATAGTTCTACCACAAGCTTTATCAAAAATCTTCAACTTTGAAAAGTCACAAATCCAATTTCGAATGGCCATGCCAAATTCTCCCCCGATTTATAATAAAAAATGTGATTATAAAGCCTTCAAATGGTCATGAGAATGATCTTGAATGGATAAAAAATTACTGTGCTCCCCCGCGACAAAATGATATATGCAATGAAGTATAAAATCCGAAAAAGTCGTAAAAATCTGACGTGTTCACGAAAAACGACTTTCCGAACCGCCAAGACTTGATGAAATCCTTATTTTCTGTTCACCAAAAAATATATGCATTAAAAATCCAAATTTATTCAGCAACCCTTAAATTTGCAAACAATTCTGAATATTGGGCAGAAACTGTCATTTGCCGAAAGTCAGTGGGCTAAATAGTAATTCGACATCATTTTCCCCATTATATTGAAATAAATTTGAAAATTGCACCAAAGCTTTCATGTTGCTGATGATACAGGGACCAAATATGTAACTTGAAGTCATCTTCCCCATTTACCCATTTACGCTCTGATGAACAAACGAATCCTCACAACAGGTAACGAAAACACGAACTCCGAATCCAAACAACAATGCCAATCAATCATTCGTTCCGAGCACCCTGATGCGACCGAATCTAAGTTCGTTCCAAGATCTTGAATTATTCAACTGAAGCGAACCCAACCGAAGGTTCAGTTCCTTTCGTTTCTTATTTCCATTTCAAGCTTCATCAGGCGAAAATGCTTTCGCTTTCGGTCCTTCCTCCGTTCGCTCCAACCATTAACAAGCGAACCCAAGTTCGTTGTTCTAGGTTCGGTCCTAATTCATCATCATTACCCCAAGGCGAATCTCCATTCGCAGGTTCCCTTATTGTTCTCACTCTACATTCTCTTCAAGACCTTTCGTTCCAAGTTTTAACAAACGAACCCAAGATCATTCTAGGCTCGTTCCGAGTCCGTCGATCAAAGCGAATCCACATCAACGAACATTAGAGCTAGCCCAGAAATTAATTCCAAATCCTTTCGCTCCGAATCAGTCTCACAGATGTTCGTTCGATTGTTCACAGGTAAGGTAATTTTGTCCTTCGTTTCATCGTTGTTCTTGCCAATTGATTTCCAATTCCAATTTCATTCGTTCACACTGAGGATTCACAAATTATCAATTTTGACTTTTCGATTTTCACAACAATTTTTACTTTTCTGTTGACTTTTGTTTTTCCCGATTGAGTCCCGATTTCATTCACAGGTTGTATTAAGCTTTGATGATGCTAGACCCATATGGCGATTTGACAGTAACTCCAAAACATCGAATACTTCTTCGTTGATTACAACATCCCGATTTCAACTGAATTTGAATTTTGACTTTTCTAGATTGACAAACCAAATCGAGATACAAGCTGTTCATCCGTTCATCATTTGCTCATTATAAGACTCCGAGATTTGTATTTAACAAACACCCAATCTATACTCCAAAGATCGATTTCTTTCACAAATCATTAATAATTTTCAAAGATCGATACATATTGTAAAAAATTAAATTAACTATAGGAATAAGGAAACCGAAGAAAAATGTGATCTTGGACTAAAACAAACAGAAATCGATTGATTTTCGTACATCAACAAGCAATAACCCCAAACAAACCATCGATTATTAGTTTTTGACAAATGAGGAAAACCAAACTGGATGAATGAAAACTCAGAAAAGCGACGTAAACAGGAGCACTAGATATTATATTAAGGCTAAAGAGATGGATCATGAACAGTGAAAATTGGGCCAGATCAAAAAGAGTGGATTTGTAATTGACATTGGATTGAATTAATAAACACAAAAAATCATAAATACGATCAGAAAAATGAATCTGATTAACAGAAAATTACCCTGATGAACAGTAGATGAACAAAAATTTTCATGAACAGTTGCTTGAACAGAATTTTGATTCCAAACTGCCGAAACACTAATAATCTTCAAAATCTTGTGTAGAAAATCATCAAATCAAGAACCGATACTTCAAAAATCAACAGATCTTCAACGACCCGCTCTGATACCACTTGTTGGGAATAAAACCCTAATTGTGATTTGATGACCAAGATGCGGAAAATAAGAACAAACACAAATAAAGAAGATATGTCGAATGATCACTCGATTTATTCAATATGAGGAATAAATTACACTTTCAGCATAGACTAAAGAATCTAACACTACATAAGAAACCTCACAACGTGGCGGCTACATTTTGCCTCACTCTTAACCCTAATTATGAATAATACATGACTATTTATAGGGAAGAGACAAGTCTTGGGCTTTTAACCTACACTTCATCATGGGGGCCCATTGCCATCATCCATGGAGTGCTTTGAAACCCTACATCTTCTTGGTAATTGTTTTACAAATCCTATGAGAACCAAACAATTGTTGCTCGAAGTGAAGTCTTCCGAGAGAGAGAGAGAGAGAGAGAGAGAGAGAGAGAGAGAGTTTATTTCTATAAAGGCTAGTGGGGGCCACATTGATCTTGATGAGGCTCGAGAGTCAACCAACAAACTTTTAAAGAATATAAGAAAACTTTACCTCTTCAAGAAATCTTAATCGATGATAGCATGCAGAACGAACATTTCCAATAGAGATTATTTTGAGAATATGATGCATGTCAGTAAAAAAGTTGTTGCACTTACAACAGGAAAGAGATCAACAAAATCTGAGAGTTGAAAAAACTCTTTAGTATAAGGGTAAAATCGTAATTTAATTAACGGATATTCCATTTTCACTTGCATAAACATGTATAACTCCATCTTCCATCTTGAAATGACGCTGATTGCAAAATAAGAAAAAAGGTATGAAAATCAAGAAATGTTAATGTAACTGATTTGATTTGTTGACTTCGCGTATCATTTTCCAAACTTCTTCCTCTTCATGATTCAATGACTCTTGATACAGAAAATAAAGATGAAGTTAATAATGATTATATTTGTTTGGAAGATCAAAGATTAAATTAACAAATGGAAGAAAGTTAGTTACCTTTCATCATTGTTGCTTCAGGTAAAATGTTTTTTCCATCATTGATTGGGATGTTGTTCTAAGAAAAAAGTTCCACCTTCTCACTGCCATGGTCAATAGTTGAGTTGACTTCTTTAGCAACTTTCCTATGTACATTTCTTAGATCATTGTTTGCATTTTCAGGTTGTATAGGAACTAATGACATAATTTCAATGTTTGAGTATATATCCCAAAATAAGATAAGTAGAAAATATGGAATGAATGGATAGTAAATTAAGAATATAGACTATAGTTTATTAAAAAGATCATGAGATCAGATTAAGTCAAAAAGAAACAATATCCTTTGTTGTTTGCAGCAACTACCAAGCTTCTATCCCAAATCACTGTCAATGATCTCACTGCTTTATCAACCTCTAGCACCTGGGTTCAGTTCAAACTTCAAACCCACACAACTTAATCAATTTATATATGCTAAAAATTAAAAACAAAATCATACCAGCTCACAGCTACAAGAGTTTGCAGTCAAGTCCCATACACAAATATTCCTATTTTGATCACCAGATATCAGCTCAGTCTGCACACCCAAAAACAAACCAATAAACCAAATTATATATAGGTACCTGGCCAAAAAATAAATCTAATTTTCACAAGGAACATAATCATAGACACATGATTTGGATACAAAACCATCGTGTTAACAGATTCAATAGATTCAATAGTTTAAAAATTAGTAGAATTCAGCCAAACCTCTTCACCATCGGAAGGCCAAAGCAAAAGCATGACCCCTCATTATATTTTTTTCTTGATTGGACATCACTCAAGGACAACTCTGTATGTGTATCCAGACTGCAACTTGAAGAAAATGAAGTGTCCATGTCCTGTAAATTCTCAAATTGATCAAATGTTTCGTTAATATCTCAATATTACATATATGATTCAATACCTTATCAAAGTCCTTAACAACTTTAGCTTCATTTGTGGAATTTTCTTCATATTTCATCCATAATTCATGTATCTCCTCAGCTATAATATAAAAAGAACTCTACTAACTACAACATTGTTCTAATGCTTCTTTCTCCCTCTTACTCTTTTTAAGCTTTGAGATTCCATCTGATGGGGTGATGTCACCAATAATGGCTATTAAAGTTACATAGAAAGTCAGAGAAAAGAATCTAAAGGGTATAAGTTACAAGAAATAGAAGCAATAAAGAAAACAAAGTTTAGGAGTTTGGGATAATATATAGTACCTTCTGCAATATCATGCACAATTGCCATTTTTATACACAGGAAAGATGAAAGCAAAAAGGATTATAATTAGCCATAACAGTATAACACCATTTTTGATGTTGACATGATTTTCAAGAAATGCATGATATGATGTTAATATTCATTATTCATCTAACAAGAAGATAAACTAACTAGTCCCTGTTGACTCCTGGAGTATCAGAAGCAATGAGAGCCATTAATCCCATCCTGTACATGTGATTTGCAATAGATTCAGGGCCCTTAATGTCTTTTCACCCATCCAACTCTTTTGGTTGACTGAAAAGTGAAAATTTCAATTCAAGATACTAACAACCAAATTGGAAAGGAACAAAGTCCAAACTAAAATCAGATGACATCAGTGTGCAGAACTACATATAGTTTTTGATATATACGTCGGTTATAAATCACCATCGACTAATACACACAACATTTGATTAGAAATCCCAAACCCTATCTTTCAATATAACGGATTCAGTGTGTAGTTCCATAAATCTATGAAAGAATAGGAACATAATTGACATGATCTTACCCATATAATGTTATATGGAGGCATAAAAAGGACATAAGTAAAATGGTATAGAAGGTGAGAAGGATGATATGGATGTAAGCTAGGTTAAACAAACAAAACACCTTCATATTCCGATTTTGCATGATTATCGATCCGAAAATGAAAATGGAGAATGAAGGGTTTGATTCGTATACGATTCACATTCACTTAAGTTGATTAAAACAAATCAGAAGAAATAACCCTCGTAGAAGAAAGACATTCGACCAAAAAAACTAAATATGTTGATGCTTACAAGGGATTCGACATCAAGCTTCTCGATAGAGGATCAAACAAGTTATCGTCATATCTTTTAGGAGTCAGACGTAGATGGAAAGTGGGGTCGGGACGCAGTCTCCGACACATTGATGCTAATGAGTCACAGTCGCCGGTGAAGTGATCATTGAGGCGAGCCTGATGAGCCCGTCGGTCGGTGAGATGAAGTGTTGCAGTCGTACTCTAGCTCGATCGTCTGGAGAATGTTGAAGTGAAAAAACCCCGGTTATCGTGTGGGGGACTTTAGGGTTGGTTTGGGATGTTAAGGGTTTGGTTAGTGGTATCTATAGAGGGAACAAGGGATAAGGATCGAATAGGCAAGGGTTTTAATTTTTTTGGATTCGATTTACCGCCTGAGCTATTAACACGCGCGTTTCATTAAAAATTATAAACGCCATGCTTAGATGACACACATTTTATAATAAGCGCCCTCCGTTTTTTTTTCTGACATTAAATTTAGGGCACGGAAATATGTGCGTCCTAAATCCTTCAAATTCCTAAAGAGAAGACATTGATTAAAGGTCATACGCTTGTGCGTATCATAAATCAATGTGTGTCATAAATTGCGCGTCAATTAAAGTCTGTTTTCTAGTAGTGAATGTAACAAGCCGATATTTCCGGTCAATAATAGTCAAAACCTCTAAATAAAATTTGAGTTTTATTTATTTTGGTTGAGAGCCTAAGCATTAAATATGGTTTGAAATATATAATTAATGTTTTGATGTAGGTATTTAGAAGAAAATACACTTAAAAATCAACAATTTTCCCTTTGGAACCACAAACCCTCGCACCGAAAACCCTTCTCGGCCACAAACTCCTCGGATCAAAAACATGATTTCGGCCGAGTACCCCTTGCCGACCGAAATCTCCCTCGGTATATATATTTTTACTCAAAAAGTTAGTCAATTTCTCACATTTCAAACCGAAAATACACTCAATTTTCTCTCAAACATCATCCAAGAATCTTCAAATCTTCAAGGGAAATCCTTCAAATCTTCATAAATTCCACCAAGAACACCAAGAACACCTAGAACATCAAGAACAATCTTAAAATCTTCATCTGACCGAAAACACGTTCCCAACCGAAAACAAGTTCCCAACCAAAAACACCATAAGACCGAGAACTTGGTTCTTGGATTGAGGTTTTTGACCGAAATTAAGGATTTCGGTGAAGTCTAGACCGAAAACCACTTCAACACACCAAATAATTCTCGATAATTATTCCTTACACAGAATAAGTGTTGTCTAACACTTTAATTAAATTGTTTCACTAATTTAAATACGATTATGTGTTTAAATAATATTAGGAAACCGTTACTTCCACGTACGCTAGCCCGAGAATGATCTCTACAGTTCGGATATCAAGACCCTAACATGCACTAGAGGTGAGTTCATACCTCTACGTTTTCACTACTTTTCAACGTTTTTAGGGAGAATACAAGTTAAACACAAGGACTCTTGTCTTAACATACAGACGATTTCAAAACATTTCGAACCATTTGCAATTGTTCAAAACGATTTATCACTGCATTTGTCAAAATATATTTATATATTTTAACGCTTTTGTAATATGTTGAGAAAAAGTGTGATTTCATAATTCTTGTATTTCCGAATTATACACATTATTAAATTAAAAAGGATCTTAATTCATTACAGAACATACATACAAACTATAATAGGTATAGTTTCAGGATCACTACACTATTTTGCAGGTATAAAACTACTATACAGGAACAAGTATATAAACTATAATAAGTATAGTTTATGGAACACTACTAGATTTTAATACTACAAGGATTCACTACTAAATAATTATTTAAGTATAATTATTTTACATTACAAAGTACACTACTATGAGTGGATACATACATGTTTCAAGTACAAGAGAACACTACAACACTACACGTAAACTAGGAAATATAGGGTTGTGAGGCACTACTTCGGGGTACCCATCAGGGGATAGCGTGAGTTTGTGTATAGATCTATACGGGATTGACAACCCCGCACCTAAACTGTTAGCTATAGTTAGGCCGGCAGGCCTGGGGTGACAAACTTCATAACATTCCGACGCCTGAAGAACATCGTAGAGGTCACTAGCTCATATCAAGCATGGTTGTATGAAACTCACAATAGTATTAACTAAAACATTCATTTATGGGACTAACACTACTTCAAAGGTTTTATTTTAATTAATAAAACTACTATACATTACAGCTAGTGGTATCCATGCTTTCATACAAAGGTTTTCATACAGTATACTATTATACATTACTGTTGGTGGTATCCAGGTTTTCATACAAAGGTTTCATAACAGAGATTACTACGATACACTATTTACCTAGTATCGAGTACACTAGTACTACATACAGTTTAGGGATTCATACAATTTGGTCTTAAGGCCTAAGACTACTTTTCATTACTAATGAAAATATTGGATATTTTGGAGGGACGTGTTAACACATTTCAAGGAACAATAACAAGTTTTCCATTGCAAAAACATACTTATGAACTCACCAACTGAAATGCTGATACACTTTCAAAACCACTTGTATTCTCAGGAAACCGGTAGACAGGTACACCCGTAGGTTTTGAGAAGACGGAGCTTTTAGAGTCGCATCTTTTATACTTTTGTTATACATTTTTTATGTCATACAAACTTTGTACTGAACATATGTAAATACTATATTTTATCAATGTAATGGTTGTGTTTGCTTTGATTACTATTATACAATTGTTGTGATATTGTACATGACGTCCTCCGCCCCCGAACGTTTTCGTCGTTCCGGATTGGGGGTGTGACCTAAGATGGCCTGATCCGACGTTTTTCAGGTGTCGGAATTGGTAAGAAATTTGTCACCCCAGGCCTGCCGGCCTAACTGTAGCTAACAGTTTAGGTGCGGGATTGTCAATATCGTATAAATATATACAAAAGTGTCACGTTCTCCCTCCAGGGTACTCTTGTTATAATTCAGGACTTTCGTGGGCACTTAGATAAGTACTTGAAGTGTGTGTCACAAAGCTATACTGACGGTTACGTGTAGAATAATGAAAAGCCATTTTGTAATGAATAAATTGTATGTATGTCTCCTTCCTTTGTGTAATCGTAGTGTAAATAATTATACTTTTATATAATTATTTTTGTATTGTATCCCTGACTAGTAAAATGATATGTATGTTCCATAAACTATACCTATTGTATTTTAAAGTGTATATTCTACTAAAATGAAAATCTTTGCATTTTTAACAACTTTGTATGTTTATAATCAAAATTTACGAGATAAATTTATTCGTGAAATTTAACATTTTTGTACAACCGGGAAAAAAATAAGTTGCGAAAATATTCTTTTTGTTTAACGTGTTGAAATAATTTTTATACTTATATATATATATATATATATATATATATATAGATATATATATATATATATATATATATATATATATATATATATATATATATATATATATATAATTAAGATTGAAAAGACAATCGAATAAAAGGTTCAATCCTAAGCCCACAACCAAACAAGGAACATGAGTTAAAGCAAAATCACCAATTCTAAGCCTGTAGAAACTTAATTATATATATATTATATATATATATATATATATATATATATATATATATATATATATATATATATATATATATATATTGGTAAAAACGACGGTTGAAATAATTTGAAATAGTTTA